TGGGTGGGACGGAGCATCCGAGTTTCCACCAGCCCACTGGGGACTCAGATGGAGGAGGAGGAGAAAGTTCTGTCTCTGATAAGCGTCCACCGAAGCAGCTGAAACTGGAATCGACTTGGCTTCAGAAGACCTCAAAGAGAAAGGTCTGCTGGAAAGAACGACAAGTCAAGTAGCCACTCAGCAGACTAGGGGAAAAAAGGGCTCAAAAGCCACTCAATTATTTCCTGCCTAGACAGAAGGTGTGAAAAATGTTAAAGAAAGGCTCAGTAAAATTATCAGAGATTCTCAGAGTAATGAGCCTGGCAAGGAAGTCGTCCCAGTAAAAACACACAAGGTTTCCTTTTCCTGACTTGTGTTCAGAAACACCCGTTCTCCACCTGTCTCCTACATGAACCAAATTAATTACTTCTTTCTCCATTTTTCGATAATAAAAATAAAAAGGCTTTGATCTGAGGGTCTACATTAAATATGGAAGGAAAGATTTAAGGTTCTAGGCCCAACAGGCAAAGCCCAAATATCTTCATTAAATCCTCCACTGAGAACATCTTTTAAGATACTACCAACCACAAACATTTAAACAATATACGAGGGAAAGGAGAGAGAATGTCGGAATGACAGGAAGACGCCGGTTTTGTGTGCTTCGATGTCCTCACTCTCACTGATGCATGGACCCCAGACCCATTTCTTAAGTCCCAAGGGTCTGATTTCCTCCTGCTGCAGTTCAGTGCATCGACACGTGAGTAGTTCCAGTCGGGTCCTTGACCCCTCTCACACAGCATCTGTGCCAGTCACCGGCGTCACCGTTCCCAGGTGGAAGCCCTCCTTCCTCTCTTTTCCTCGGGCCCTTCTCCTTGTGTCCCCGCGGGCCCCTCCCCTGGGTCCCAGGTGGTATTCGCCAGGTCCGGTTTGTTCAAATCCACAATCACCCGAGAACGCACTTCACTCTCACCTTTCCCGGTGTGACCACAAAGGTGACCCTACTCCCACGGTATTTTCCTGTCTGTCCACAACCGGACGGGAAGACTCCGGAGAACTGGGACGACACCTCCGCACCCAGAGCCCAGCACCTGGCCGGCCCCGTGGGGGGGCCCGGATGTTCCCCGGGCCAATGCGACCACACGGCCACTGACACCTCAGGCCACACCCGTGCTGTCAGGCCACCATCAAACCTGAACCTTCTTCCAGAGAAAGACATTCCTACGTGACAGATTTAGAAAGGAAGAACAACCTAATCTACAGTTGTCACACTCTAAACTCTAGGTGTCTAATAGTCACACTGGCATGGTTTTTCTGTGAGATCCTCTGTCCTGAGTCATTCTGTGATGAGTTATGTGTGTTTTGTCCACTGGGATATTATTGCCCTCAGGTTTCAACACCCGGCTTAGCGACCTCTCCAAATCAATGGCTGCATGTCCCGGGGTCCTCGGGGGATGCCCACGGGACTGAGAACTAGGCAATTATATTAATAGGCAAAATGACTTTCAAGGAGCAGTTGATGAGAGGAAAGATTCCTGTCCGGAGCAGAGCTGGCAACTGCACAGCGGCGATTTATGGAGGCCTGTTCCAGAAGAGGCCGGCTGTGCTCGGGGCCGCGCCGCCTACGTAAATCACAGGCCTGCAGCCGGGCTCCCATGCAGCGGGCCCCTCCAGGTCCAAGGACACGTTCTGTGTGCCGTGCACCGTCTGCCTGGTGCGCTGTGTCAGCCGCACGCTCACCGTGCGACATACCAGGTCTCAGAGGTGGGTAGACTGGATTTGCTCTTGCAAAAGCATAAAGCTCAAACAAAAAGACACCATTTTTTGTGCATTTCCAGTGCCTTCCCGGGAGAGGACTGGATTCTAAAATGTACCAATAGAAAAGGAACATCTTTGGCCAGCCCCTGAGACAAGAGACATCTTCCAGAAACACATGGCCTGCAGTATTTCTGGCTCTTGGCAGATTTCAAACCTGTCCTGCCTTTTATTAATAAGCACAGTTTAGATCAAGTGCCTCGAAGGAGCCAGGGCTCACTTGCAAGATGAGAGCTGAGCTCGAAAGTTTAACGTCTTCTAACAAACACCCTGTAACGACAGACGCCCTCCCCAGGCACCAGGTCGCTCTGGCCAGCACAAATGTCGCCGCCGAGAGACACACTGAAATGCATGGCCAGTGCGCTGTCCAGACCGCCACCACGGAGGCTACTTTGTAATTAACGAGAAGTACAGATTTAATAGCAATTGTTTGGCAGACTTACTGCAATCTAAAATAGACCCTCATCACAACGTCTGTCTTACAGTGGCCTCTGCAGACACACGAAGACAGGGTGTACAATGCGAGGCCATCGTCGCTGGAAAACGCAGTTACTTCAGGGGTGGGACTGTGGGAGGAACTCCAAAAGCCCCAGGGCACTGCGGGGCTGCACCTGAACTTCCACAGATAAAGACGGACGCCTGGTCACTCCTAAGTGCCCCACATCCCCGTGGTGGACACCTGGGGTAGGATGTCACATACGTCATTAGAATTACAATCCCCTATTCACAATAGCCAAGTGCTGGAAGCAACCTAGGTGCCCATCAGTAAATGAATGGATCCAAAAACTATGGTACATTTACACAGTGGAATTCTATGCAGCAGAAAGAAAGAAGGAGCTCCTACCCTTTGTGACAGCATGGATGGAACTGGAGAGCATTATGCTGAGTGAAATAAGCCAGGCAGTGAAAGACAAATACCATATGATCTCACCTTTGACAGGAACCTAAACAACAAAACAAACAAACAAGCAAAATATAACCAAGACACTGAAAGAGAAAACAGGCTGACAGTGACCAGAGGGGAGGGGGGAGGGAGTTTCAGGGGGAAAGGGGAAGGGTTTGCAGAAACAAATATAAAGGACACATGGACAATGACAAGGGTGGGGGTAGCAATGGGAGGGAGGTGGGGAGGGTTGGGGGGGGGGCTGGGATGGGGGTAAAAGGCAGAAAACTGTACTCGAACAACAATAAAAATAAAAATAAACATAAACATAAAAGAATTACAACCACCTGTGTACCCCACCCAGGTTCATACAACTTTGAAAGGACGGATCGGACAAGGACGTTTTTCTATCGGTAAAGCTCAGCAATGCGACAGGAAGGTCACACGCAGACACCTGGACAGGAATCAAACAACAGAAAGCCAGCGAAGCAGCAGCACAGAGGCGCTGTCACTGTGGACTGCTGTTCGGTCACAGGCGGGGGTCAGGGAGGCGGAAGGGGTGAGTGGAGGCAACCGGTGAACCGGGGAAGGCGGGCTTCTGAGAAACGGCGGCAGTTCTCCAGGAGACACGGGCCAGAGTCCCTCTCCTGAGAACAGCGAGGAGTCCGGTGCGAGGCTCCGGGGAAGGCGAGACCACAGTGGCTGCGGCAGAGCCTGCTTTACGTCGGTGGTCTTCGACCCCTCCCTCTCATGGCACACACAAACTCATTACTGAAATTCTGCAGCACACCCAAAAATATATTTTTTGTTCATCTAACAACAAAAAAAGACCAAACAGGTATCATTTTGATTGACTTACAAAAAAAATAATAGTAATTGCCTACCCATTTTGCTTCTAAGTGGCATTTTAAAAAGCCAGGTGCCTACACTTGTATATAAGGATTTCTGCTACCAAGAATTAACCAATGAGATGCAACCTTATTACGCAACATGACCAATAAGAGGCAACACTATTATATGACCCACACATTTGTGGTTCAAGGGCATTCACACCAGACAGTTCCTGTTGTGTTGGCTGGTGTCATTTTTTTAAATTTGACAGTTTAAGGGAAAAGAGGTCAGTGCCCCTGACTAAGTAGTCAGGTACTGCCTGTTTTCAAAACTTTTTCGGCACACTGCCTGAAAATCACTGCTTAAAAAGAACGTGTCTCCTAAGAGTGTATCACTTTCAGAAACAGAGATTTGTGCATCGCCAAAGAGGGCAGAAATGGAGAGAGCCGTAACGACACTCACCTTCACTAAGATTTTACTTTAAAAGGCAAATTGTGAGCCCCTGCAGGACAGTCAATGTCTCTGCAATTAGTGAGACGGGCCTGATGCAGGGAAGCGAGGGGCGCGGGGTGGAAGGAGAGGGGGTGACACAGGGCGGAAGCCGAGGGAAGGATCCGGAAAGACAAGAGCAGGTTCCCTAGTCACTGCTGACTAGGATTCCTCTACTTCCTTAGGGGCAAAAACGGGGAGATTACCAAGGGGAAAAAATCACAGTGTGGGACATTTTAGTTTATTTTCTACTAATGATAAGATGTAACTTACCATTTCGTCCTTAATACATCTGATATTAAGTTTGCAGTCGAGTTCAGTTATTTTCCAGTCATCTTTTTAAACATTTAAAATATCAGAGGCTCCCCTGGGGTGGGCTAAAAAGATCGGCACCAAAATCCGACACACTCTCCAGATCGGCAAACAGTTTAAACAGAAACATACCGAGAGAATTTGGCCGGCGCCCGCAGCCTGTGAGCCGGTGACAGGCAGGAGGAAAACAGCCACAGACACACAGAAGGGTCCCGAACACCGTCTGTGCTGCGCGTCACACAGAAATGCTTCCGGGGTGAAGGAGCCAACCTGGGGCACCCTGCTTCGGTCCGTCCTCACTCGCGGTCTCATCTGCCCGGGGAGAGGTGCCGGCGGCGCCGGCAGCCGGTGTGGGAGGGTATGAACTTGCACTTCACAGTTTTCCACCACAATGGTCCTGATTTCAGTGCTTCTACTAATACCTGCAGGGGGTCCAACCTGCAGCCCGGCGGCCGCACGCGGCCCAGGACGGCTGTGATATGTGGCCCAACACAAAATCATAAACGTACGTAAAACACAATGAGGTTTTTTGTGATTACATGTGACAATGCATTTAACATGTGGCCCGAGACAACTCTTCTTCAGTGTGGCCCAGAGACACCACAAGGTTGGACACCCCTGATCGGGGGAGGTGAAGCTCTCTAGGAGCCTTCTGCAGGGAACAATGAGTGAAAACCCGTATTTTCGCACGTACCTGTTTTTCCCCGCTGGGCTTCTTGTGGTTCAGCAGCAGCTCGACGGCGCCCACGACTTCTTTCCTGATGGCGTGGAGCAGGGCGTCCCCCACGTGGACGTTGAAACTCAAGAGCAATTCGATGAGCTCCAAGTTCTCATTCTCTATCGCAATCAGCAGAGCAGTTCTTCCGAGAGGATCGATGCAGTTGATATTGATTTTGAAATAAATTTCCGCTTCCTCCAGGGACTTCTTGACACTGGCATAATCCCCCTTTTCCACGGCGTTCAAATAGGCCTTTTCGGACGGCGAGAGCTCCGACTCCGCCCGGACGATGCGCAGAGGGATGCGGTCTCGGTAGGGGGCATTGGCGTTTCTTTTGTAGTAAAACTGAGCCATGCTTCATGCCACGCGCTTTCCTTCTGTCTCTGAAAGCACAAACAGACCAACAGAAAAGCCCACAAAGATTAGTGTTAGTGCACTTTTTAACTATTAAGCATCATGCGACTCACAATTACCTCAGTAACAATGACGATGCCATTATGATTTAGTAATACTAGTGAAGTTTTTTTTTCCCCCTTCAACAAAGGAAATGGATTTATCATTTTCCAGGTATCTGCAAACACAAGGTACAACGTCCATATCTAAGAGGAATAAAAAGAGGTTAGTATTTGCACGTTATTTTCAAAAGTTACTTTGCAAATGACATGGCTACCTCGGTTCAACAGTAACTTCAGTTAGGAAGCAGTTTGGTTACTTGCCCTTTGATGTCCAGGTTATTTGTCATGACTTCTCCATGCCTAAGTTCAGGAGCTGCTATTCAGAACTGCTGATTAAACTCATTCGGTCTCACGTGTCACTCAAGCTAAGGTTTTCCCGCTGATTTTCTCTCGGGAACCCCTACCCATTCACAGAAACGAAGTGACAGCCCCTTCGACGGCCGTGTTACTGTCTGTCTCTCCCTTTAAGTTCTCAACGATACTTACTTTGCACGTCTTGCTGCACCTCGGTTTTGCGCACAAATGTTTATGAGATTTGTACCTTCTCGTTAGAGTCACGCCTTCACCAGTTGTCACCATGGAGTGTCCTTCTTTGTGTCTCATGCCAGCCTTCATTTTAGAGTCTATTTTGTCTGGTATCAGTATTGCTCCTCAGCCTTTTCCTTCCTGGACATAAAATGTCCCCGGCCCTTCCCTTTCAGTCCGAGTGACTTCTAACCTGCAGCAGGTCTCCTTGTAGGCAGCACACACACGGGGTCTTGCTTTCTTATCCATCAGCCTCACTGTGCATTCTGATCGGAACATTAAATTCATTTACACTTCAAGTGATTATTGAAGGGTATGTAGTTATTGCCAGTTTGAATCATACTTATATCTCTTTTTTTTCTTTTCTTCTTCTTGAAGAAAGTTGCTTTAACCTTTCCTATAATCATGGTTTGGTGACGATGAACTACCTCAGCTTTCTGGAAAGCTCTTTATTTCTCCTTCAGTTTTTAAAAAGATTTCATTTATTTATTTTTAGAGGGGAAGGGAAGGAGAGAGGGAGAGAATATCAATGTGTGGTTGCCTCTCGTGTGTCTTCCACTGGGAACTGGCCCGCAATCCAGGCATGTGCCCTGACTGGGAATTGAACCACCATACTCTGGTTCGTAGGCCCACACTCAATCCACTGAGCTACACCAGGCAGGGCTCTCCTTCAAATTTAAATGACTGCTTTGCTGGGTAGAGTCATCGAGGTTGAAGGTCCTTGTTTTTTATCACTTTGAATATTTTTGTCAATCCCTCGTGCCCTGGGAAGTTTCTGTTGAGATACCGGCTGTTCATCTTCTAGAAGCTCCCTTATAACTAATTAACTGCTTTTCTCTTGCTACTCTTAAGAGTCTGTCTTTGTCTTTAATCTTTGCCATTTTATTATTTTTTTAAGATTTTATTTACTTATTTTTAGAGAGAGAGCGAGTGAGGGAAAAAGAGAAACATCAATATGTGGTTGCCTCTCACGCGCCCCCTACTGGGGACCTGGTCCACAACCCGGGCATGTGCCCTGACAGGGAATCGAACCAGAGACTCTTTGGTTCACAGGCTGGCACTCAGTCGACTGAGCCACACCAGCCAGGGCAAATCTTTGCCGTCTTAGTTACGCTGTGACTTGGTGCGGATCTGCATGGGAGCCTCTTCTTTGGGACTCCCTGTGCTTCCTGGACTTGTGAGTCTTTTACCCTCCCCAGGTGAAGGAAGTTTTCAGTTACTATCTCTTAGGTAGGTTCACAATCTCTTGCTCTCTCTCTTCCCCTTCCAGTGCCCCTGACACGCGGATTTTGTCATGCCTGATGTCCCAGGTGCCCCCTAAACCATCCTCACTTTTCTAAATTCATTTTTCTTTTTGCTGCTCTGATTGGGTGTTTTCTGCTACCTTGTCTTCTAAATGGCCGATTCAGTGTCTGCTTCTTCCGTTGATTTTTCCTAGTGGACTCTTCGTTTCAGATACCGTACTCTTCATTTCCGACTGGTTCTCTTTTTTACGGTTCTATGTCCTCTTTGGAGCGCCCACTAAGTTCCTCGCGCGTCCTCTAGCTGCCGACAGCAATGTCGGACACAGTGCGATCCCTCCCTGCTAACTTCCATTTTAGTGCAAATCCAAAGGCGGCCTCTTCGTGGTGCCACTCCACACAACAGGAAAGTGAGTGCCACTGAAGACAAAAGAAACCATAACGCAAAATCTGCGGGGTGCGCTGTCCTCACACCCCATGGGCGAAGCGGTGCCTCTCCAAACCCGTGCCCATACCCATGAGGCCCAGACACCACCGCCATGGAGCGCCCATTTAGAACACAAATAGGGGACAATTCCCCAGACACCGGCAATGACATGTGACTAAAAAGTTCGCACCCTGGCCCCTGTTAACCTCCCCAGCTGGTGCACCTAAACGGTGAAGCTTTCCTGTTTGGGGAACAAAGAGGTTTATTCAGGCTTCAGAGCCTTTCCCGGCTCTGCCAGAAAAATCATCATCATCATCGTCATCATCGTCATGTTAGCAGTAATGTTGCTTTAATTTGCTGGAAATTAAGAACTCCATCTAATTATACCTGAGTCATAATCATAATAATTTCAGTGTCTTTTTTAAGAAAAACAAATCAGCACTGTAAAATGTGGAACAGCGTGAGCTCCCAGAGAGCAAGACACCGGGTCCCTCGCCCTCCGTCCCTCGCATCGCTGGGGAAAGGCTCTGTCTCACACCCACCGCGAAACGTACACCGCAAAGGGGATGCGCCGTTCCCGCAAGCCCGGGAGAGGACCGCCCGCGGCGCCGGCCGAAGGGAGCAGGATGTAAACGTCTCTCCTTCCTTCCGTGACGGGTTCTGAGCACCCCCGCGCCCGGCCGCTGGTGCTGGTTCTAGATAAAGGACGCGCTGCTTCAAAGTAGGAGAACGATACCTAGCCTAAGGCCAACGAAGCCTCGGAAATGTCATGTTTTGAGATCTGCGATTATCTGCTTTTGTAAATTGCTGATTTGAAAATGTGATTTTTCCTTATGTTCAAAAGAAGATACATGCCTTTGGTCATTGGAGGAGTCGCACGTTCTCTCACTACGGGCCCTCTGCAGTCTCGTGGGTGCTAAAGAAGGTTGTCCCTCACTCATCTACCCCCTTTCTTCTTTAGCTATGCCGGGGATCGAACCTGCAACCTGGGCATGTGCCCTGACCCAGTATCAAACCCACAACCTTTTTGGTGTATAGGACAATGCTCCAACCAACTGAGCCACACTGGCCAGGGCACTAACTAATTTTTTTTAAAAACACTGAATTGCAAAGTTACAGTGGCAGAGTGAAACTGAGTGCCTAAGATATCTTTTTCCTTCCCTGGCTGGTGTGGCTCAGTGGATTGAGTAACAACCTGCAAACCAAAGGGTCGCTGGTTCAATTCCTAGTCAGGGCACATGCCTGGGCTGCAGTCCAGGTTCCCAGTGGGGGGCGTGTGAGAGGCAACCACACATGGATGTTTCCCTCCCTCTCTTTCTCCCTCCCTTACCCTCTCTAAAAATGCATAAATATTTTTTAAAGAGATATCTTTTTCCTAAGTGATCATGGGTCACACAGTCTAGATAAATACTGCCTTTCACTTGGTAATTATGCAAATACATGTCAGCTGAGTGCAGTAATCAGATAACGTGTCACCTCTTTTCTTCTCGTTAGTGACATGTTAGAATGCTTATGTCTTTGAAAAGAGGAAGCAGCGATAAGATGCGGCCGTGCTCCACCCGCCTTCAGTTCGTTCCGCACGACGCACACACCACCCCGGGGGGACGGCGCCCACTTCTCTGGGCCCCGTCTCAGTTCTGACTCTGTTCTCACGCGGAGAGACGCTTCGGAGGGCAGTGAGGAGTGTCCGTGCTGAGGCAGGTCCTGGACCCACACATACTCACTGTAAGGCCTCGGCCACAAGAGCAAGGACCACACATGCTCTCCATTCGCGGGACAAGAACAGAGGCCTAAATTCAATGCACACCCAGCCTAAAGTGACAGAGCCGGCGGGGCTGAGATGGGGACCCTTGCAGGGCTGACACCGTCCTCTTACCTACTGTGTGTCACGGGCTAAACAGAGCTCAGGCAGGACGGTCTCCGTGTACTGAGCACACGACACGCACCCAGTGAATATTAACTACCAGTAGTAGTACTGCTACTAGTGCTATTACTGCCAGGCCAGAGCCGAGAGGTCCCAGGGACCCGAGGGTGCCTAGTGCCCTGCCCCTCCCTCCCCCTCCCAGCCCACAGCAGAAGCCACGGATCCTAACCTCCAAAACTGCATCTTGATCACATCTGCTTCTCTCTCTCCTTAAAGTTGAAGTCATATGGTGAGGGTCCAGGGCATGACTGACGTGTCTTATAACGAGGCACAGCCAGGGTTAAGCCACATTCCCCCGCCCCCTCGTTTGAGACAGAGAGCATGATTTCCATATGAAAGTCTCAGTCACCCAGCTTAGAAATAACCTGTGAACTGGAACTCGATTTTCATAACGTCTCGGTAATAAATTACGAGCTATGATCCTTTCACTTAGTGGGGGATTATGATGTTTCTGACTCTGCGATATATTAGCCTATACAGCTTACCCACTGCACTATTCACCAGGATTGTGCTTGAGGATTAGGAATGTCGAGTAATTTATGCCAGGTTACCCAGCTAGGAAACATGAAGGTTCGAATTCCAACCAGGGTCTAGGCGACATCAAAACTGAGGCTTTCTGTCGCTGACCCCCAAGTGACTGGCACGGTCTCACACTGTTCAAATGTCATTGTGCCTGCATTTTCCTCAGACGCTGTAAACTGGAATATTTCTGCAGCCAGAATACACTCTCCTGCAATGGGCTGCAAAGACAGTCACACGTGAGTCTGAAATATGATCTTTTCATTAGCTAGATCATCAATAATTAATTTTC